ATGACAGAATCCATTGTTTTGGAACTCTAGACTCTAATTCAAAACTTGCAGCAACGTACAGGGGACTATGTAATGCAGAAAAGGGCAGCAAAAATTTGGTGAGAGAGCATTGAAGCACTTTTGCTTATCCTCCTACCATCCCCCATCCTCCAGTGGCTGAGGAGAGAGTGGCCCACATTCCTGGTGTGGCTTGCTGGTGCCAGGGGATAATGACCTTGTTCTTTACAATATTGTGGTTGTATATTTTGATCTGTTTCGCACTAAGGGACTAGCACAGAGGTTGACCCCTGACTGCAGAGGTTTTCCAGGCTGTGGCTGCCTCTGTTGAAAGATTTCAAGACATCCACTGCTCATGCTCACTTGGGATAAGGGACTGTGAACAGGACAAATACCAAAGAAATCCAATAGCACAGGAAGGAGGAAGCTAAAAAGTAAGTTTCTTTGGGGAATAAGGATTCATAAGGGCTACCATGCATACCAGGGAAGTCACACTATAACATGCATGCCCAGGACCAGATGCATGCTCAGAAAAAAACCTCAGAGGACCATAAGCTTGTATTTCTGGAGGATTTGTGATCTCCATACAAACAGGAGGAGAAGGCTGAGACAGAAGAGTTGATGACCTGGCACAGTCTCAAGTGAGTACTCCAGTTCTGAGTCAAGCTGCAAAAAGCAGGAAAATAGAACTGCTTTTCTTCTTAAATCCAGGTGTTTAAGGAAATCTGTCAGGTTATTGGCTGACCAATGAGATAAAATGTTTGAACAGAGATTTCAAAACGACCACATATGACAAGAATACAGTCTTGCAAAAATAGTTGGAAAAAGTCACTAAACAAATGTACAACCGCAGCCCTCAACAATCAAGAGTAGCAAACCCTGGGGAAAGAAGAGAATCTGATTTCTAGAGTTACCACATTATAATATTGAAAATGCCAAGTTTTCAACAAAAAATTTACAAGGCCTACAAAGAAACAGGAACATATGACCTATTCACAGGAAAAAAATAATTTGGCAGAAAACATACCAAAGGAAGCCAAGACATTAAACTTACTAGACAAAGACTGTCTAGTAAAATTGTCTTAAGATTCAGGAGGCCTGGGTTCAAGTCCTGGTTTTGCCACTAATTCCCTACATGAGAAAGCAAGTCATTTCCATTTTCTGGGCTCATGTTTCCTCAGTATTCATACAGTCTGGAGGTACGCTGACCAACGGCTACAAGCTGGGTCCTTGGGAGATAATTTAGCCTACAGACGTATAGTGTTTGACTTTCACTGTGCTTCTTTAAAAATATGAATTACTGGTTAATATTTTTTTCAAAAGAGTTTTACATAAAAATCCAATTCCTGGCTTTTCTTGAAATACTAGAAGATCTGGCCCCTCTGGGCTTTCCTCTCCACTATGCCTCATTTTAATGATGAGAACCATCCAATCACTTTTGCTGTCTTTAGATGGGGCATGGATTTCCCAGTTGGACACAGGCACCCCCTTATTCCTTGTCTCAATTTGTTTCACTCACTTAATTGGCCCCTGTAAGCATTTAAGTTGGCCACTCTTGGCTAAGATGGGTCTTTCCAATTCTAAATTTACAGTGAGTCGAAGGTTTCATAAAGGAGAAAAGCTTTTTCCAAGTATCTTTTTTTGTAGCCAAAAAGAGACAATATATATATAAAAGCCAGGTCATACTCTGTAACAATGGGCTTTCCTTTGAAATGGAGAAGTTGGGTTTCCATGATATCTAGTCTGTAGAAAGGCAAGAAATGATAGTAATGATTGGCTTAGGTCATCCTTTCATCTCCCTATTTCCAAACAGGCCAGAAACCAGAGAAATAAAGAATTTGAAAGAACAAAGTATATTATCCAGCTGCTGATGACACCTAAGCAAGCTCTTTACTTTCTGTCGAAACCTATGCCTTGTCACACAGGCCTCACCTCCAATCAATAACAAGTTGTCATGTGGCCTGCCCACAATCTACCCTTAAGTAGAGAGCAAGCTCTCCTCAGGTCATGGTTCAAAGTCAGAAAAAAAAAGGTTCCTTTTATGCACAGTGACAAAGGAAGAGAGCCTGAAAAAGTTGGATTTGCTACTTAGAGAGACAATCATATCCTAGCAGTCTACCCTTAGCTCCTAGTGGGGAAACCAGCCCAGGAAAACAGCTGAAGATGTCAACAACTAGATATGAGGATTGATGCTAAGCAAGTTTAATTCATTTAACCTTACCAACTACTGGGAAGGTATATCAGCTCCTACACTGCTCTTGTGAAGCCATGTCCCCAGTACAAAAAGGAAAGAGCCTGAGAACACACACACACACACACACACACACACACACACACACACACACAAGAATGAAATTCTGAACAACAGAGGAGGCAGATGTGACTAGGTCGAAGACACATATGCCTGGTAAGTTCCTGTACAGTGGCCAAAATGGCATCATAATTCCTATTTACAAATATCCAGCTTATCACAGGTAATAAAGCATTTTTACAAGCCCCAATTGTTCCCATTTCACAAGGAAGAAAACTGATATTTGAAGATGCATAGGAAGCTGCTCAAGTTGCATATCTAATAACAAAACTGAGGCAAGAATCTGAGTTTCCCAGAAGACACATAGGAAGCTGTTCAAGTTGCATTTATAATAATAGAACTGAGGCAAGAATCTGGGTTTCCCAGACTGCAGGTTGGGTTTTAATGTGTAATTGGTAGGGCTAACTTGAACAGAGCCACACTAAGCACTCTTGATTATCCATCCTAGGGCTCAAATGTCAGCAGTGAGACTCCAAGGTAGGGAATGAAGATACCCCACTTTGTGAGTCACCAATTTGGTCAAATGATATTTAACTAGCCTGGAGCCTGTGTGTTACTGTTTTTGTTTGTTTGTTTGAGTTCTTGTTGTTTTTTGTTTTTTATTCTACTGAAGTGATTTTGTGGTATAGCCAGGGTTGAGAACCACTTGGGCTAGACTCTATATCAAGTGGCTGCTGGGGCTGTGTTCCCATAGGAACACTCCTCCTGGCCTTGGACTTAGGAGCATTAATGCCTGCTCATTGATAATCGGAAGTCTAGTTCTGCCATTTGGTTCCCTGAGCCATCCTGGCTTGCTCAATCATATCCCCTCATCCTTGGATTTACTATTTCTTATAAAAGTGGCATTTCCCTGAAAATGAAATGCATTTGGATTTAGGTGACATCATCATTGGGTACAGTTTAATCCTTCTTTTAAAGAGTGAGGTCTGTAAGCACAAGACACCCCAGCTATATGCGTACAGAGTCTCACATTAGTCCTGAAGGTCTGACTACCCCTGGGACTGATTCATCAACCAGTAAAGATGAGCTGGGAAACAGATGGCATTTGCAGATTCTGACAGAAGAGAAGAAAAGATTGAATATTTCTTTAGGGGATTTTCATGTTAGAAGGATATGAGAGGTCACTTTTTCCATTTCTCTGCTTCTAGGCTGTGCCCTCACCTAAACTGCCCCAACCAGGTAACAATGCTTTCTGGGGTTTTAGCCTTGAGGAAGGAGGCCTCTATCAACCTTGAGGGGAGCCTTGATACATGGACCTTCTTGGAGCTAATAAGGTGGTAGTGATTATTATAATCATGATGATAATCATAAAATAAGTTACCATTTGCTAAGATCCTAACATCTGTCTAGCACTGTGCTAGATATCTTACTGGCATATATGATCTAATTCCTTATAAAAAGTCGGTTATCCCTATTTTTCTGATGAGGAAATCAGAGCTCAGGGAACTTAAAAATCTTACCAAAAGCTATAGAGCTAGAAGGTAGTAAAACTGTATCTCAAGTTTTCTAACTCCAAATGCCCTCCCCCTTCCTTTATGTCACATTGCCATAATTCTAATCTTGAGGCCCTTCAACCTCTAGGAGCTCTCGCTAGCCCTTCTGACCTTTTGTTTGGGGTCTAGAAGATTTCAGCCTAATTTTACAGGAGAAAATAACAAAATGTGATAGGCTGTAGTAAGGATGGTATAACATACCCTCATGTGGCTTCCGTACTTGTCTTGCCACAAAGCAGTTTTCACATGTTTTACCTCATTCACTGTGACATCCTCTGGCATTAAAGAACTGTCAAGACCATTGTGCAGATGAGAAAAAGCAGAGCTCAAAATAGTCAAATAACTGATTCCAGCTCACAATTCCAAGAAAGAATAAGAGCTGAGAAATCTAACCAATGTTCTTCCCCCGCAGCACTGGGAGGTCATAAGCACATTGGGATCACTTCCTTTATAGTGACTCAGAAAAAGCAAAAACTGCTGAGAGTTTCCTCCCAAGAGCCTCTCTGTTAAGGGCCAAGTTCTTCATGGTACAGTATCAAAGAGGCAAAAGGCTTATAAGACCTTGCATGCTGCTTGCTTCCCACCCCCAGCACATTTAAATCCCAACCCCTTTTTTACTCTCAAAAAAAGTAAAATCTGGTATCAGTAAACTCTAGCCCCTGGGAGGCAGGGAGCTTACACTCTTACATTAACATTGGAATACAGTCCAGTGACAATACACAGGGGTATGAGAGGCAAAGAAGTAGACAGGAATGAGAGGAGGAGAAAGAACAGATGAGAGAGAGGAGGAGATAGGAAGAAACTACAAGAAGAAAGGATTAAAAACAAGATGAGAAAAAGAAAGCAGAAAAAAAGAGAGATAAGAAAGACAAAAGTTCACAGCAATATAGGGTTAAAAAGTTATTCAAAAACCCACGAGGCCAACCCCAAAAGAAGAAACCAAGACCAACACAAGGTAAGTGATTAGTACAAAGGTGGGAGGTGGGGATGTTAAACAAGAGACAAAGGAAAACTCTAAAAATTAAAAGGGCACAGATTTAAGGAAGTCCAGCTTCTCGGTATGAAACAATGTTTAAAAAGGAATAAAATATGAGAAAGCCACTAGGAGAGAAATGAACAGGAGAACAGAGGCTGGTGAAGGGGAAGCCAGGTACAGGCAGCAAAGGAAAGAGTAGAGGAGAGTGAAGACTGACACTCACCCTCACAAAGCTGGCAGGAAACCATCCCTCCTCATCGTCGATCTGGCCCCACCACCAATCCTTGTTGGAAGCATCCAAGACTTTGATGACGTCGCCAGCCTTAAATGCCAACTCCCGGTTGGCCATGGTGACGTGATCCCATACTGCCTCAGCACTAACGATGGAATCTCCAGTGATCAGCTTAGGAGACAAAATGAGAATGTGTTCAGTCCACACAGCTACCTTATTTACCCCTTCCCCCACCCACAGAGCTTTACTACTTGTAGAAAAACTCATATGCTCAAGTGGTGACAGAGGTGAGGGGGAGGGCACTGGAACACGAGTTCTATTGAACCGCAAGACAAACAATACTGCCAACTCTCTGTTAGCCAGTGCATGGTATGACCCAGAATATGAATACATACTACATATGCCTCATGCTTTTTATCCCTACTCATGAACTCCTCCTACAGAGAACAAAGAAAGCTCCAGTCCATCTGTCCTTGGTGCTTCAAGGCAGCTCTTGGTCTGGAATGGGTGGAGAGGCTGAAATCAACGGCTAAAATGAGACTCAAGCTTGTTTCCTTTCAATTCCCTGTGCGCCTGCCCTTTCCTCCTCCTCCCTGGAACTGACCAATTGAGAGTTGGTGGTACATTATTTAACCCCACCATGCCCCTCCCCCTGGGGTAACAGACCATAACATTCTTACACATAATGGACCCCAGTCCTGCAGCCTCCTGCTCTCACTCACACATGATGCCATCCAGAGAGGTCATGGGTAGAAAAGAATGTGGCTTTCTGTGATACCTTGCACCCAAGAAACTCAACTTTAACACAGATTCTCTCGGCAATTTGTATAACCATCCTGGGAGATAAAGTAGGGGGAGAGGTCTGGGCTGACTTCTGCATTTGATGGATAGCAAAACTTAACAAGGAAGTGAACAGATGAGCTAGAGATCACCCAGCAAGAAAGGACCTGTGCGTGGAATGGACCCTAACCCTGCTCACTTCATCGCCAGCAGGACTGGGCTCCACACAAGAGCAGGCAGACATCTATCCCACTGCCATATGAGCAAACACACATTTATGAAACTCATCTAAGCACATTGACAGTGATGGGGTGGGGGGTTAGTCTGCCTCTCTCTCTACCATCCTGACCACTGTGTTATTTGTTCTTTTTCCCTTAACTGTTCCAGCTCGTATGGGCCATCCGTCTTCTCAGCATTTGGGGTAATAGATTCCAGAATAGAGAACACATGGCCTGTCAGACAAAGAGACTCAAGCATTCTCTCTCCAGCACTGAATTTCTGAACAAGTCCTCTAGAAGTCAGCTTTTCCATCAGCCTACTTTCCTCAAGGCAATAGTGGCTCCATAAGACCAAAACTAAAACAAACTTCAAGAAAACAGAGATAGTCTACGGCATATACATCCTCTCTCATATATCTGCCCTCCAAAATGCTAGCCACAGAATAACCCTAGGGTCTCAAAATAAATGCACAACGCATATGAACACACACACATACACACACACTGATATTTGACTTAAGTTAACATGTTCTGTTCAGATCCTGCCTGATGTATCTGCCATGGCTTAGGATTCGTCTTTGTGCCTTCCACGGAAGGTAAGGCATAGGGAGAGCTCTTCATGATGGATACAGAAACAATTTCCAGCAGGACCTTTTACAATGCCACCTTTCAAATACCTCATGCTTTACTCTTTGCAAAGTGTTTTCACATCTACATCATTTGATCCTTATGGAATAAACTGGGCCTCACTATTACCGTGCATTCATCAATTCATTCATTCACTTATTTTTATTTTTTAAGACAGAATCTTGCTCTGTTGCCCAGGCTGGAGTACAGTGGCACAATCTTGGCTCACTGCAACCTCCACCTCCTGGGTTCAAGCGATTCTGGTGCCTCAGCCTCCCAAGTAGCTGGGACTACAGGCACATGCCACCACTCCCAGCTAATTTTTGTACTTTTAGTAAAGTTGGGGGTTTCTCGATGTTGGCCAGGTTGGTCTCAAACTCCTGACCTCAAATGATCCACCCGCCTCAGACTCCCAGAGTGCTGGGATTATAGGTGTGAGCAACTGTGCCTGGCCAATTACCTATATTTTAAAGATGAGGAAACTGAGGCTCAGAAAGGTGAGCCGGTCCTTCAGCCAATTAGACAAGTAATACATTATGAAGCTGAGTCTTCTAACTTCGTGTGCTCTTATGCTTATCAAACTGTACTACCAATGTCTACTCATTATCTATACTGAACTCCATCTATGACATCATAAGCCAGTTGGCTCCTATTCTTAAAGAACCCTAAAGGAGATTTAGACAGCCACTGTTAATCATAGGTGCCCCTGACACTGAGGACATTCATTTTTATGTTGAACTTGCTTTCTTCCAATTGTACTAAAAGTCATTTCTCCTTGTTTTGGCCTCAATGAAGAAAAACAATAGCTGGTCACTGGCCTACTAAAGTACATTTTTATAGAGAAGTCTCCCTTCTCCTGGAAAAGATGGGTCCCAAGTGGGCATTGTTAGAACTCAATAAGCACATACAGCCCCAACCCAGAGCAACATTAAGACCTGTGGTTTGAAGCTATATCTATAGCTTTTTATCAAGGGTCAAAGAGTATCTCAGCATCAATTACCAACCTTCTGCTCAGGACACTATCTGTGGTGCTCTCTGAGATTCCCCCAGGCCCAGGTCAGGCTGATTTCACTGTCTATACTTTTTGACTTTGCACTCTTCTTTTTAGGAACTCCATGCTTGGCTTTTCCCAGAAGCAGTTAGCTGACTTCTGTCCCCCATTTAGTCCAGCTGCTATACCCGGGCCCTCAAGTCACAGGGCTCACCTATACCCTGGACAAAGCCAATCCAGGACCCAGTGGTCACAAAAACAACTAACCAACTTGCAAGCCTGTTGTCAGGGCCTACTTAGAATCAATGACTGTCAGAATTAAACAGAATTTTAAAGATCATCACCTTTATGCCCTCATTACATAGATCAGGTTTAAACCTGATTGTTGCTTGTGTTAAAAAAAAAAAGTAACTTGCCTACAGTCATCAAATGGTCAGCCTCCTAGACCAATGATTTTTTCTAACATAATACCATAGAGAGAGAAGATAGACAGAAAAAAATAATCTGAAATTAAGACCCTGTTCTACTACTAGCTAAAGGTGTAATGATAATTACGACGTTAGCTAATACAGAGCACTTATTATATGTCAGGCACTGTTCTAAACACGTTATTAACATTAGCTCATTTAAGCCTCACAGCAGTCCTTTAAGAAAAAACTATTATTATTCCTATCTTACAGATGAGGAAGCTGAAGCTCAAAAAGTTAATTTGCCCAAGTTCACACAGCCAATAACTACTGATGCCATTATTCCAATACAGGAACAGTCTGACTCTAGAGACTCTGCTCTTAACTTATAAACTATGCTGCCTCTGGATCTCAGTTCCTTCACCTATAAAATGGGGATAATTCTACTCTATCATCTGCTTTGTAAGCTATACAACACTGAACTGAGAGCTGACATGTATGTGCACGGAGGTGACAGGGATGCTAATCCAGAAGGGGCTAACAGCTGTGTGGGGCTCCCACGTTCTCTCCTCACAAACACAAACAGGAGCAAAGGGATGTTCTTCCCTCATCTTCTGAGTTGTTTTTAAAATGTTAACTAAACTTAACCTGGAAATTGGTTCCAAATCTTCCATTTGTGTACAGAATTAACTTTTAACTTGCTACAATTTTTTTTTCATTTAAACTTACTTTGCTCTGCTCATCCATCTTCCATCCAACATTCATTCATTGAGCTCCTACTGTGTGCAGGGATCTGCTCACTGTGATTCACCTTTAGTTCTTATCTGAAGAACAAAGGGTTTCCAGGTACAAACAATGCATGTCTTTCCAGCAGAATGCAAAGGTGGTTATGGGCAGGCAAACCTACCTTCAATTCTGGGCTTTACTACTTTAGAAAGTAGCAATGACAATAGGAGGTGAAAAATAGAAGAGGAGTCAGAGAGACAAACTGAAATGTAATTATCAGCATGTAATTAGGACATCTAGGAGTACAATTCCACAAAAGCCATAGACAAGTTTCTAACTATACAACCTTGGGCCTCAGTTTTCATCTGCAAAATGGGGTAATAATGCTTGCCTCACAGGCAGAGTTATAGAGAGGGTAAACTGAGATGCTGGATGTACAGTGCCTGGCATGTTCTGGCCTAGTACAAGACTTCAGAGAAAGGAGGGGTTATACAGGGGTATTGGCTCTGGAAAGGTTTTGTGTGGCAATGAAGATAGCCCTTAAAAAATGGATGGAATTGTACCAGATGGAAAGGGAGGGGCATTTGAGGCAGAGAAATGAGATTAAGCAAAGTCTCAGAGACAAAAATTCTGGGAAATACGATGGTAAACAAGTAGTGGAGTTTGGAGAGGGTAGGGTTGGGAAAGGGGAGTGTTGGAAGTGATGGCTAAAAAGGTGAGCAAGATCATGTTTGGAGGACCTTGAATCTAGTTTGAAGAAAAGAAGGTCAAAGTTGACTTTGGGGTACAAAAGTCAATTAAAGCATAAGGGTAAGTTAGGAGGAAATGTTGGCTTGGCTTTGCAAAGAGATGACAAATTTTCTCTTTAAGCTGTTAAATATGGGGGGCCAGCAGGACATGCAGATGGGTGTAACACTCAAGAGCGATTAGGGTATATAGATATACAGGTTTGGGAATCAATGGCCCAGAAGAAATTGTGAAAATCAAAGACTTTGCCCTGGAAAAATGTGCTAAGAAGGCCAGAAACCTTGGGAAAATGAGATTTATGCTTAAAGATGGAATGTTAGGTAAGGAACAGAAAAAGAGCTACACACAAAAAAACTAAATGACGCTGTTAGCACATCATTAGGATACCAAGGAGTATAATCTCTCAAAAGTCAAAAGACAAGAGTTTCAAGCAGCAAGAGCTCATCAACATTACCAAATGGTACAGAGCTATAAAAGAAAAACAAGAAAAGGCAATTTGGGAGTAGCTATAGCAGGGATTATATTCTCTGTTCCCAAACTGGTTTATATTCCCCTCCCCGCCAAAATCTGTTACTATCCTTCATCTTGCAAGCCTATTATAAAGCCAGAAGATGGAGCAGTATTATTCTAGCAAGGTACTCAAAGAGCTCTAAGCCTTAAGACAGCAGTACTGTG